TATAGTTGGAAAATGGCGAAAGAGGGAGTGAAACGGTCAAAATCCTGCGAAGAAAGAGCCTCCGTTCTCAATGTGTTAGAAATCAATTTTGGACGAGTTTCCCGTAGGCATCTTGCCAATAACCGCTACCGAAGGTACGGCTGCATATGTGTACTCATATATCCATGCAGCATCACGGCCGCTTCATACCAATCCCTTCGCTTCATAATTTGCTTAGCAAATGAATGAATACGAGCGTCAGGAACGGTCGTCCATTTGTGGGCGGGCGGGCGTGGCGGGCGTTTGGGACGTAAAGTTGTGGCTTGATAGGGCCCTTATAAGGGCACCTTCCTCGGGGAAACCGCTATGCAGCGCCTGCCCAGGGTCGCGGAATTATCCTGCCAGGAGTATTGATCCTAGTCGTCTTGGGGGATTTATCGTGCCAACTGCCTTCAAGAGGAAAAGGTGTTACAAATTGGATTTCTTTATTTATCAAAGCGAGCGGTCCAAAATGACAGCGTTGGGGCGCGCTCTGGCGCGTATCACCGCTGCTGTCGCGAAGTATGAACGCTGCCCTATTACCGTACCAAAATGCATACATGTGAAGGTGCCCGTAGCAGTAAGTATTACACCACCTAACAGGGAAGATTATGTTCCCTGTTCGTTGCGTTCTGACCCGTGAAAGTAAGGCGTCGTTGGGGACTGCATTACTACGAGGAGTCGTATTGTAGATCAGCAATATTTTTTGATAGTTTACTAGGAGGTCGTACCGACCGCCTAAACAAAGGGGAGGGGTTCGTACGGACTCGTAACGGACCCCAACCAGTAATGTACTGCGGCAAGTTTCGTGGTTCGCCGGTAGTTTTAAGGACTTCTTCAGAAAAAAAACGATTAACAATTAAAGTGGACGTGATATGGATTTTCAAAAGGGTTGATTTTCAAACAGCCCTTAGGCGGGGCTAAAGCCATAGTGTTATACTCCTTGCAAAATTTGAAAAAAAAAACAAAAGGCTGGACAGAAAACAGCTAGCTGAGGCTGAGCAAGTGGTGATCTGATAGAGTGGAGCAGCTGAACCTCCTTACGGCACGGTTCCATCAGACTATTAATCACGGAAGAGCTTGTGATGTTACTTTTCTCTCGCTGCGGCCTCACCCGCGAAAGTGATTCACCACTGGTTGCACGGTTTCAAAAAGTGTGCTGTGCCAGAAGCACGCAAGCAATTTGGAACGACAATTAAGCAACAAGCAAACAACTCAAGATGTTATGCAGTGCAAATAAAGTTGCACGAAAACGACTTTTAATCCTCAGAGTGCACAGCTTCCATGGATTTGTATTGTGCAAGCGAGAACCCTTCTACTATGGGTAGGGGGAGGCAATAAAAAGACACTTCGCCCGAGGCACATATCAGCAAAGAAGATGCAGCCCAGAGAGAAGACGTGGATACGAGTACCAGGGCGGAAGATACCCAAGATGTTCCTCGATAAGCAGGAGCAGGCTCCCGCACCTTCATGTACACCAAAATATGAAGCCATCTCCAATCGCAGCCTGACTGGAGAAGGCCTATGGAATTCACGTCACCTCCAAACAGCTGCGAAACTTCTTGTATGGAGTCACCCATGGATAGCTACCTGGAGACCAGTACTCTTGATCTGGAAGACCTCCAACATCGAGCAGCTCCGACAACGTCGCTATGGTCCAGGATATCATCTTCCTGCAGTCGCCAAGGCGCGGGTTGATGGTATGGACCGGAAGTTCCTGGAATGGGAAGACCGATATTTTCTTCGTGGACCTCGAACTGGAAGTGAAAGCGAACTGTTACATCGAAAAGTTCGGAGAGATAACCCGCCTTTATGTTGTCGCCACGCGCGGTCCCGGGAGCCGAATCACTCCTCAGCCCTCGCTCGATTCTTTCAATCATCCGCGTAGACAATTTAAAGCCCATGTAAAATTACTTTTCTTCACTACTTTAATTCCACATGTATCTTCAAACTAGAGGATGCACTAGTCATTGAAATATCATGAACAAGACAGACGAATATCTCCTTCGAATGAGGCTTCACATAAAGATGGATTGCCTGAAAAAGTCGCATCAGAAACAGCCCCAAGCTTACTCTCGCGTGCGCCCGTGGGCAGGATGAGATAACTGAAAAGTCTCTCGCAGCGTTTCTAAGGCAGATGCCCTGCTAGTCGTCAGTCCAGCA